AGTTTCCAAAATTTTGAGCAGAATTGGTGCGAGGGGTTGCGATACCCAGTTTCTGGAAGATGACTTCTTTTTCCTGAAGGGAGTTCCAGCTATGAACGTTTTGAGGCCTTCCTCATAGCGGGATTCCCACACTGCACAGTCTGGCACCACTCGTCCCACATTCCAATCCTGTAGGGTTGAACGAAATATGGTTACCTGCTCCCGACCCCCTATCCTTCCTGGCTCACACTGGGAGCAGTCGATTACCCAGGGTCCATCACCTACCAGGACAACAGATGCATTTCTAGTGGCAAAGGGTGCCAGAGTGAGTTGAGTAAATCTCCGCCCTCCTGTTAATGTTATGCTGGGGATTCGCCAGGACTGGTTAGCCTGAACGTACAGCCATCCCCTGTGTTGGGCAGTTCCAACACGGAGCAACCTCCCGCCCCCCGTTAGTTTGGGATCATCTGGCATTTTTTTGCTTACAGCCCAATCCTCCCATAGGTACCTGGTTATCTCCCCCTCCTGTGGCCACTCTGAGGTGGCCAGAGTCCAATCACCATGCCACCCTTCTGAGCCTATGAAGTGGTCCCACCAGTAATTAAGTCCTTGTCCCACACATACTGCTAGGAGGTCTAATTGGTTAAATTGGGACAAATAGGTTGAAGTCACCGGCTGGTTCTGTGCATTCACAGGAGAGGGTGCACCCGACCAGCGAATTAAATCATGGGATACAGCTACGTCTCAAGCCGTATAGGTTGTGCACCTGTAATTGGGCACACAGGGGGCTGCTCCGTTAGAGGATAGGGGGAGCGGTAGGGGTTAGGGATGAGAGGGCTGGGTAGCAAGGGGGGGAGGGTTAACCTTTCCTGAACCATTATCCTTCCATTCTTGTGCAGAGGATGCCTGATCCCCTGTCAGTTGTGTTGCCATTACCGACTGGTGGGTTAACACCCGTTGCTGGTCAATTATATCCTGCAGAGCTGAAATTTGTGCAGCTGCTGCAAGAGATTCCTTCCAAATCAGGGTAATCCCTGCCATCATGCTCTGTAGGCAAACAGCTTTCTTCTTCTCTTTTGGAGGCTTTCTTATCCTCCAAGGTATTTTCGATCCATTTTAAGTATGAGACCCATGACTCTGATAGGGCATCCCCAGGGGGGAGAAATGGCCCCCAGTCCTTTCCCACCCTGCGGTCTAACCAAGACCGCACTGTAGATGTTGAAGTGAAAGAACCGCTGCTCTTACCTATATCCATGTTGGGGTGATCAGTCCTGAACTCCCGGCAATGCTGCTCGCTGCACCAAAATGTTGAAGGGCTGAATGATGGACGAAGTTGGATGGAGTGGTTAAGAGGCGATTTATTCAGTTACAGCATCCACACCGCTCGTTCTCCTCTACCTCACTACCAACAAAGTGAGCCCTGAGTTATGGTTACAGCATCTTTTTATTCCTACCCTTCTCTTAGTACCCGCCCTATCCCTTTCTTTCCAAATCATCCTTTTGTTTCCTAATATGGTGAGGATCACCCCTTCCCGGACTCGACCTCTTTGCTTCCTAATATGGAGAGGCTACCTTTCCCCAGACCTTACCCATTGATTCCTTATATGGTGCATTTTGAATCCTTATTTTACTGGCAGCAGCTTGGGGAACTGGATGGCCTAACTTATGGTAAGGTCCCAAATTAGGGAACTTTGTGGCTTAATTTATGAGAGGACACCTACTCCTGAGGCAATCTTTGTATTACCCTTTTGTGACAGGGCGCCTGCCCTGCACTGGGCCTTTAAGCCCAAGGCTCAGGCCCCGAGCCTGAGGGAAGCTGGAAGACCAGCTGAGATGGTTAGGCTAATGAGCCTAGCTGCCAGCTATAAAAAGAGAGGCCCAGTTGCTGGAGAGGGGGAGGGCTGACTGCAGAGGCAGCAGGAGCTCCAGGGAGGGATACAGCTGCAGGAGAGGGACTGGAGAGGGACGCTCTCCCTCAGCAGTTGCCGGGGGCTCCAGGAGAGGCCTGGAGGAAAGCAGAGGCGAGTTGGTGTCACCTGGAGACTACCTGCCGAGGGGACGCCGGCCTGGAGATTGCAGCCAGCTGGGCAAGGCCAGGTAGGAAGTGGCCCAGGGCAGGAGCGGGGGGCGCCCCTCTTGGCCCGAGAGACTTGGTGGGTTTTGGCTAGCTAGCCCCACCGAGGGAGTGACCCTATACCTGGTTGCTCACAGGGCCCTGGGCCGGGACCCGGTGGAGTAGGGTGGGCCCGGGTCCCCCTACCGGGGGGTGCCCAGCTACGACGAGAATCTGTTTGTAGACGTAGGGGGGGCCCGGGTCCCGCTACCGGGGGGTGCCCAGCTACGACGAGAACCTGTTTGTGGACTCGGCCTGTTTAAAGGGCTGGTATAAACTGCTGTGAAGCCGATGATGAGCAACCCATACAGACTGTAACTCGCCCTGAGATGGGCCATGTGAAGACAGTCGGGGGCACTGAGGCTACTGGGGGGGCGTGCGCCCCATGACAATAAGGCACAAAGTGAGCCAAACGTGATCCCAGCAGCGCCCGGCCCAGTAAGGCTGTTCAACACAATCAATCCTAGTATTTTATACCCTTAACCAAACAAGTCTGCCATCAGGGCAAGAAATCAAAGTGAACTTCAAAGAGAAACTACTATCAGCAAAGAAAGAAACAGGTTTTAGGGTGTAGGAACTTCAGTTCAAAATAGTTCATTAATTCATTCCAACAGCTCATCCTTTCTGAAGCATACGTGCAGAAGCGAGAAACTTAAATGGCTTCTGTTATATGAAGTGGCTTTTAGCTAAATAGGAAATGGTTTCCAGAACTCCCCCCTTTTAGCCTTTTAAAGGCTAACTTTGAAGACATTTCATTAATTTATTTCCATCAAAGTATTTACGTACATCTCTTGTTCCTTTCTTTGCTCATCATGTTTTAACATCATAAGTTCCACATTCTTTTTGGCAAGGGTCTGTCCCGTGTTTTTCAGAATATAAGAAATACAGCATTTGATTAACAAGAAACAGAAATACAGGCAGTCCCCGGGTTACATACAAGATAGGGACTGTAGGTTTGCTCTTAAGTTGAATTTGTATGTAAGTCGGAACTGGTACATATTGTAGGGGAAACTCTAGCCAAATATTTCTCCAGAGCTCAGTTTTATTCTCCCACACCTCACTTCCCTCAGTCCTTTATTCTCAAGCTGAGGTGTCTACTGAGGGAGTTGGCAAATGTCATTGAGGAGCCTTTGGCTATTCTCTTTGAAAAGTCGTGGAGATTGGGAGAAATCCCGGATGACTGGAAAAAGGCAAATGTAGGGCCCAGCTTCAAAAAAGGGAAGAAGGATGATCCAGGGAACTATAGGCCGGTCAGTCTTACCTCAGTCCCTGGAAAAATCATGGAAGGGATCCTTAAGGAATCCATATTGAGGCACTTGGATGAGAGGAAAGTGATTAGGAATAGTCAGCATGGATTCACAAAGGGCAAGTCATGCCTGACCAATCTGATTAGCTTCTATGATGACGTAACTGGATCGGTGGACATGGGGAAGTCAGTGGATGTGATATACCTTGACTTTAGCAAGGCTTTTGATACGGTCTCCCACAATATTCTTGCCAGCAAGTTAAGGGATTGTGGATT